AAAATCTTTAGGTTCCTGTGAGACTTTCTTACATCTTGCATATTTGGTTTCCTCCTTGAAGGAAATGCTTGATGAGACTACTTGATGTTTGGACATGAGGAGAAACCAACATTTTTAGAGTGACTGCTCTATGCCAGACGTTTTACATTCAGCATTTCCTGTAATCCATAGGAAATGGAATGTGAGTGGAAGCAGACAGAGCCCGGAGGAGAGCCAACTCTCGCAACATCTCACCACCCACAGCCTTTTGCAATATGATTATAAAGAGTAAGACTGGAGTTGGAGGAACCTGATGCGCATTTGGTGAACCCTGAGCCAGTTACTTGGGATACGAAGATTAATTTTGTAAGTTTCCGCTCTTACAGCAAGGCAATCTGATGGGAAGAAACAGGCTTACATGCAACTTGCTGTTGGGTATTATTATATGTGATATGACAGAATGAAGCTTTCAATGTACACACCAAGCCATGTTTTGCCTCTACTTAACATTTTTTACCTGCTCATTTCAATCTGAGTAAAACACAAGCTCCACACATGATCTACTCTGGGTCTCCCATCCCCTCACCATTCCTACAACTTGCTGTAGGGTATTATTATATGTGATATGACAAAATGAAGCTTTCAATGTACACACCAGGCCATGTTGTGCCTCTGCTTAACATTCTCTACCTGCTCCTCATTTCAATCTGATTAAAACACAAGCTCCACACAATGATCTACTCTGGGTCTCCCATCCCCTCACCATTCCTGCACCCATTGTAACAACCTTGACCTCCTTGCTGTCCTGTCAGCAAGCCAGGCCACCCCATCCAGGAGCTATGCGTTTGCTGTCCCCCAGCTTCCTCCCTCTTCTCTTTCATGTCTTCACCCAAAGGGCACCTTCTCCACAAGGCCTCCTATGCCACACCCATCCTGCACTTTGAGTCCCACTCATCTTATACTGCATTCATTTCCTCCTTATAGGAAAGGCTGCAAACCTTATAGGAATCACTGTCATCTAAAAAACTATGCAATTGACTTATTTATTGTGCTGATCTTCTGAGTCCCTACCACTGATTCTAGAATCGTTCTTGGAGGTCAGGGTCCTATTTTTTTTTTTTTTTACTATTTCATACCAAGCAGATACATCAGCTCATGGCATACAGCAGGCACACAATAAAACACCCTGAGTGCTTTAAAGAATAACCCAGAGACACGTAAATGTAATGGAAAGACTAGATCTATTTTCATGGAGGCACCTCAAAACAGCCACACAAAGGTCACGGTTGGCCTAGAGGAGGAAGGGAAGAATGGAGGAGTAACCTACAGACTGTTAGATGCTGGAGCAGGGTAGCTGAGAAGAATGCTGAGAGCAAGGAGAGGAGTAGCTATACATGGACTCCTATTACTTCCCGGAAAGGCCTTGGGGTTCTTGGGAAGAATCTTATACTCTCTCTCCTCCAGCCAAGCCCCACAAGCTCATCCTAGAGCCTACGGAGAATGACTTTCAAGGATTTTAGTTAGGGAAATACAAGAGAACGAATATTTTATGACAATTTTTGTGACCCAGTTTTATTCAAACTGATACAATGGGGCAATGCAGGCTGCGCACATATTGCCAGGGCCTGGCATAGAGCCTGGTGTTGATAACCGAAACGATGATTATGTTGAATAAACTAGATTTTTAAAAATTGAAATTAGGATCATTGAACATTTGTGATATTGCTTTGAAATTACATTCCAATTTGATTTATGAATGAGAGAAAATCACTGAGATTGAAAAATCACTAGCTTTAGAATTACACCTTCTCTTCAAGACCAAGCAATGAAATGTTTTTCTGTTGATTATTGACCTTATTAAATTGGTCTGATATCTACTGCCATAATTTGAAATTTACTAGCCCTTTTTGGGACTTTATGACTACAGGATATTCTGAAAATTAATCTAGCCTTGAAGTAATGAGCTTTAGCACCCGTCAGAATATTGACAAGAATGAGTCACAGGACTCTGCAAAACCACTGGAATAAAGGGATTCCCAAGCCAATCCTATGAAGGAGATCTTACTGGAATTTTCAAGGTATAAAGCTAACTGCTGAGTGAAAATATTGGCTTACATGTTCAGCATTTCTCTGGCAATTTTGAAGTCACAGGTCCTATAACTCAATAAAACACACCTCTCATACTGCAGCACACTAAAGCTGAAAATAAATCTTGGTACCGATATCCATCCACCACTTAGCTGAAATAAACAGAACTCAGATAGTCACCAACAGCCTCACTCCTATGAATTGGGTGAATTAGATTTCAGTATTTAGATTAGATCCTACAAACTTGCCAGGTAAATGAGTAATGCCAATAACCTTTGCCTCCAACTAATCACCTTGAACATTCACATTTATAGATGCCTTCAAACTGTAACCCTGATGACTTCAAATACAGAGCTCTGGTATCTTTACAACTTAGGTATACTTTCTGATTAAACTTTAAAGCAGACTTTTAATGTGAGTCCCAATCTTGTCAGTTTAGAGTTTCTACTGTTTTAGTCCATGGCAGTTAGTGGGAGATAGAATGGACTCTCACAAGGAGGGACACCCTCAACATGGAAACAGATACCTCGCCACATTGCTTGTCTGCATTTATACACCTCTTAATAGGTTCAAACTCTAGATTCATTTGATTGAAGTGATATTTTTAAAGCCTAGACTTTGGGTGGTGGGCACATGGTGCACTATACAGATCTTGTGACATAGAAACCCACACCTAAAACCTGTATATTCGTGTTGACCAATGTCACCCCAATCAATTTAATTAACCAATCAATAAATTAATTAAAAAACTATGAAACACTTTCTTCTAGAATGATCAGATTTCAACTCAGTCAAGATTCTGTTCCTATTCTCACTGTTGCTGCCTTAAAATGGGACATGACAGCTTGTCTAAATGTGATGATCTTGAGTTTCCAAGTCTCTCAAATATAAATAGTAATACAGCCCCTTTGGGAAAATTAAATATGAGGATGTATGTAAAACAGATTATTTCTAGGTGCTCAATAAATGGTAACTATTAATTTTATAAGAAAGCTTTGATTATTGCATAGCTTTGTGTGAACAGGTTTACAGGATACTCACAGTTTAGTTACAACAAAGGTGATAAGTTGGAGGTAAAGGTCATTGGCATTACTCATTTATCTGGCAAGTGAGTAAGTTGAAGTTAACTTATTTCGCTTTTTATATTGATATTTCCATTTTTATGATGCTCATCTATATGGAAATACAGATTTTTTTTTCAAGTTGACTCAGTGTTTTCAACTCAAATTACAGGGGTCTCAGATATTTATGAGAAAAGTAGAACTTTATGGTTTTTCTAGGTACATGTCTAGGAACTGGTAAAAGCTAAGTCCATAGCTGTCATAGGTTAATTTGAGTATAAAAATGTGCCTTATTTCTGAATGTGGCTTCTTCCACTAAGAAGTATGGCTGGATATCAGGGTTAAAAATGGCTGTATCTCACTTGTTTATTTCAAAAAATTAAATAACAATTTTTTATTCTCCGAAAAAAGCATAATATTATTCTTTGGGGTTACTCATATAAAGAAAAAGGGACAGGCCTATCTTCTCAATAAATCTTTTATTTGCCACTCCCTTTTATCCACAAATTCTATAGCTCAGCATTACCACGTAAAAGTTACAAAGCAATGATGGACAAGGGTTTTGCTTGAAGAACACAATCATTTTTTAAATATATTGCTGGGCAATAAGTTAATAATAGAAATGCACTGAGACTTTTCTGGTTTTGTTTCATGTATATCCATGTCTCCTTAAGTAGGCCTCTCATAGTGACTATACTATGCCATTCTAAGTCGCCCTGCCTCCTCTCTGTCAGCAGACATTTATTGGGGGCCATGTGGATGGCAAGAAGCTGCTGATTAAGATGAAAATGATCCTGCCCTCAAGTAACTTTCAGTTTAGTTGGAAAGACACATGGATGGAATAATGACAATAAACTGGTGACAAAGATATGTTTGGTTGTTATAGGAGCCAGTGGTGGGTCAGATAGCATATGTACCAGCCAATAAATGCAGAAAGGGTGAAATTGATCTAGCCAGCTGAAGGGATTGCTTTTGGAGCTGTGGGTTCTTCATTCCAAGATCAAGGGATTAAAAGGGCCTTATGCTGCTGAAAATAAGTTCAAAATAGCTTAAAACAAGATACAATACATCTAGGTTGATAGAATATATCTTGAACTCTAAAGTTATTAAAACAAAAATACCTACCTACCTATATACCTATCCATCCATTTATCCATCCATCCACCCATCCATCTATGGATCTAGCACAACATTTACACTTTTTGTGAAAAAAATTCAGATTAATGGCTACTTCTAATGTCTACTAACCTGGAGCTGGTTTGAATGGCAGCTAATGAATCTGTGCACTGAAACTATAAGAACAAGTATACACCTTAAAGGAACAACTAAGGGTACATTTCAAAAAAACTTGACAAAGTGTAACTATTCCTGAATGATCACAATTATCTTCAGAATAGTTCTACATACTTGATTATGCATTGGCATTATGTTTCTTTATATGAGTCACCCCAAAAAATAATTTCATGCTTTTTTAGAAGAATAAAAATTGTTTCAGGTGCACACACAAAAGTAGAATGCATGCCATATTTATATCTCATATAGACACAGAAATAGTAAGGACACACATTCACATACCCATACAGATAAATATATAGAGTGTAAATATAGCATGAGCAACTCACAGATATTCCTAAAGAACACATGTTTACAACTCAGTGTTATTCCATAACGGTATTTTATTCATTTCCTTCACTCACAGCACCAAAGGCATCTTTAGGAAGTTGTGGGGCATGTCGCAGAAAGGCAGGAGGGGTCACGGTGGCTTTCTCTGGTATTTTATTATTCATTTCCTTCACTCACAGCACCAAAGGCATCTTTAGGAAGTTGTGGGGCATGTCGCAGAAAGGCAGGAGGGGTCACGGTGGCTTTCTCACAGCTCTGCTCCAGGACTGTCCCCTTGGACCCCACAGATCAACACAGCAGAGGGCCCCATTCTCACACATACCTGGCTGAAGCTCTGGCCAGCACCTCGGGCTTGTGTGCTGCGGGCAGGGAGCGATGGGGCTGTCTCACCCAGGGCCAGGGTCTGGTTGCTATGGTAGCTGGCTGGATACTGGAAGGACCCTTCAGGTTTGGAATTGAGCTGAAGTGCACTCTGGGAGAGCAGGCTGGGCCCTGCATTGAAAGTCATTTAGAGCAGTAAGTGACAGCCTCAGTGAAGCAGAAATGACATGTATTATTTATTGAGAGTAGCCTAGAATTATCACACACATGATTCCAGCCATCTATGCTTTGAATTCTGAGAACTAAAATGACCATATAATTTGACTCCAGCTCTTAAATGAGATTTTTTTTTTGAGGTTTCGAGTTCTCAAATGAGTAGTTTTTTTTTTCAAATGATCTCATCCTGACCTACATAGACATATTTCTTATGAGACACATTAGTTAATCAAGTAGTTATTTTTGGATCAGACAATATCAGAAACATTTAAGAGTCCACCTATTAATACATATTAATTGCATTAATATAATTATATCTCCTACTTAATTATCAGGCTGCTAAAACCCTCAAAACCTTCCAATCAGTAACAAATTTCATAGTATAAATAGTGACGTAATACCTCAACCCCTGAAGGGTTGACAGTGCTTAAAATATTAATAGCTCTTCCTACAATGTAGAATTCGCTCTTTCTCAGAGGATTTCTGATGGATAGTAATCTTTGCCATCACATCTGTGCACAGCAGGAGAACAAAGACAGGACACAGTGTTACAAATGGTGATGTTAACATGGCTGACAGTGCAAGTGATGGAGCAGTGGGAAGACGTTCCTGGCTTCATCCTTAAATTATACTTTGCAAAAGAAACTGTTTTATTTCCTTGCATTTCATGTAGATGGGAACCTTGCAATAGTTTGTTCATGTTCTTTTTAAGCAAAATTTCTTTAATCAAATTTCATATTTACTTAGGGAATTAAAAAAGAAGTATAGAGGAGTGGAAGTGTACTTGTCAATTTCCATTGTGTATGTTTGAAAAGGGATTGGAGTAAGTAGAGTGAGTTGGGAGGAGGAGGATTTGGCAACACAAATTTTCTCATGTTATGTTAACCATAGAGCAAGTTACTTCTTTTTGGATGGAAGGAAATTACATACACACAGACTAAGACATAATTGCTATCTCATCCTTTATATCTCTCTCTCTCTCTGGCTGTTTTAGACAATAGAATCTTTTCTAATAAGTGTGAGCAAATTTCAAGATCATTCTTTCTTTCTTTTAAAGAATAGAATGTAACTTTATATTTCAACCAAGACTGCAAATTTGATGTGGCATAAGCCTTATTTTTATGAAATAATGTGTGCTCTTTAATTTTTACCATCTAAGACCCTCCCATCCCCTCTGATACCCCGATGGACATTCTGAACAATGTAAAAATATTTTTTCACCATTCGATATTAAATAATAAGCCAATTAACTAACATGGTAAAGACTTGGTATTTTGGAATCTGTACAGTTCCTGGAAAAAAAAGTCAAGGAAGAAAATAAAAACATTTCCATCCAACCCAATGTCATCATGAAGAGCATAACAAAAGTACAATTGTAATCCGTTTTCTTTTAATTTAGAAAATAGAGTCCCAAGAAAACAGCATATACCAGATGGCGAAGTTTGCAATAGCCTGCAAAAAAATCGTTTAATCCATACTGATGGTATTATAGGCCCAATCACCAGCTATATGATGTCTCTATGGGGAGTGCATATTCTGAGTGTTTCATTCTGGACGCCAGGAACATATTGCCCCCACTGCTGATGTGGAAACTGCCAGAAAGGGAGACAGAGCCAACAAGTGGTCTTTGAGGCCCAGGGGAGGGCAGGCTGAGGTATGGGGCAGCTTCTGGAAGGGAAGGGAGACCACAGCTGGGAAGGGAAAGGGGGACCATTGATGGGGGCAGGGATGGGTGGGGACTGACTGCCAGAGGAGAAGGTATAGTAAGCACTGGGAGGATGGTGACGAATTCTGCCCAAGGGTTTTCTCCTTGGTCCCTACCTTCCTGAAAGCCACAACCTAATGGGAGAGAATGAGCTATGGTGGAAGAGCCAAAGCCCTTTAAGGCTAGTGGTCACTGACAACAGGTACCTTCCCATTAGACTTTCTTGGGCTATTTCTCTGCCCAAGCCCTGCCACGTCTCCTGCCCCAAGATAAAGCATTTCCAGGGCAGTGAAAACTGAAACAGATACAACAGTGCACAGACCTTTGGAAATGTCAATAAAATGGAATAAAATAAAATATTTACTCTCATATAAATAGTTTAACACAATCTATAAAGCAGAAGAGTTGCATGTCCTGGTTATTTGCCTTTCAAGAAAAACCATGTGACTTTACACTGATGAACTTTATTATAGATATAGTTAGCAAGCGAAACGATTTATAAATTCTGAATAGATTCATAAAATTAGCTCCAGAAACCTACAAATGCTTTCCTTGTAGGATCTTAAAGTGACAATTGAAAATCCTTTTCAAAAGGTATTTCAGTTAAAAATATGATTTATGTGCTCCTGAAATATACATCACGAAATAATCAGATTTGTTCATCTTTTATACAATCAGCCATGTATTTGATCAATACTCAATGAAAACAAACCAAAATTCTCCATCTCATTACTTTGTTCACACATCTCCAGCATAAAACGTCAATGTACTCTGACAAAGGTAATTGAAGTAATGAGCAATATATCATAATATTACAACAGTGACACATCACCTGTCAAGGACGAAACAGTCAGGACAACAGTCAAAAATTTTAGAACGATTTTACCATCGCTCGCTAGGTTTCAAATCAACAGCATTATTCATTCCAATTTAGAAAGAACAGCTACATAAGAATATGGAAAAAGCTAATATGATAGAACAAGTCATAATTACTTTATTATACAAGTAAAATTTACATATAACTAACACTTGATTAGCTTTACCAACATTACTGTTCATCGAAGTAGAAAATACCAATTTTCCATAGATTTCAAAAGCATTTATTGCTTTTAGCTGTAAATCATGGATTTTTTTCCTCTAAAACTAAAGGGTTTCCATCAAGTCTTGCTTTTGGGCTAGTGGTAAAATTAGGCTGCAGTCTTGAGGACGCAATGTATCTGCAAGGTGATGGGGGCAATGCAAGAACACTTAGGGTGGGAGGAGAGAAAGAGACCTAGACTTGAAACTCCAACCAGGGAAATGGAATCTTGCCTTCATTGCACTTAACTGCTCCAGAAGAAACTTCAACTATGAGGAACAGGGGGTCACAATGTCCTCTGAGATCAGAGAAAGCAGAGGGCACACTCGGGTATGTACACTTCCAGGACATTGACTTGGTCACAGTGATGTCTTGGACCATTCTGCACCTTGCTCCTCCTGGGACAAAGCTGAACTCAATATCTACTCAAGATAACTCAGCCCAGGGGCCAGGAAGAGGAAGTGAAACCATTTTTTATTAAACTGATAAAACTCCAGAGAGCATGTGTCCTTGATCTGATCAAGACACACTAGCCCCAACTGGACAGAGGGGAGAAATTCTAAGGGTGCTAAAGAGATGAGGGTCATGGAATCGTCCAATGATCCTAGAAAGACACCTGGGGCAAAGCTGGAGTGAAACACTAATGTCTCATTATGCTTTCAAATATATGAAGTGACTACAGACCACAGAGCAACCTGTGAAAAGACTGCCCTTGTATCTTTCCCTTATTGTTAGAGGTGTGGCGAAGTCAGCCAGCGTCCCACACTTGGTAAAATGAAGATGAGGCTATCTCCAAGTCCAGAAGTTGTTATCATTTAACATCAAAGCACTATTTAGGTCATATACACACATCAGCATTTTAAGGTTGAAAAATCCATCCCTACATAGAAGTCAGTTTGTTTGCAGGAGAAATCTTCACCCCTCAGATTGTGGGACTCCCCCGAGGAACCTCTCCTTAGAGAATCTGGGTGCTGGCTAGGAGCTTGGAGTCCATCATCAGTGGGGAGAGACTAACCTCGGCCCATGAAAAGATCACCATGTTAATTTTCTGTGAAGCTGAGACTCACGTGCAGGTTGTAATAACACATACACTACCATGTACAGACAATTTCTTCTCATTTTCTTTTTAAATATATTTTTATTGTTGATAGTATTACAGATATCTCCAGTTTTGCCCCCCGGCCCCCCTTCCCAGTCACTACCTACCCTCGAGCTCTTCACTACCCTATTTCCCATGTCTATGGCCTAGGTATATATGTATATAAGTTCTTTGGTTTAGCTCATCTCGTTCCCCCCACCCCAACCCCACATCAAGGTATGTCAGTCTGTTCCATGCCAGCCGTAAAAAAGAGGGACCTCTTACCCTTTGGGACAGCATGGATGGACCTAGAAAATATGCTAGGTGAAATAAGCCAAACGGAGAAAGACAATTTCTTCCAAAAAGAACTAGATATTTTAGAGTTTTCATAATCATGTGTACTCATTTTGTTGAGACTTCATCTAGAATTACTAATTATTTCCTCTTTAGCCGAACACCAGTCCCAGAATACAGGAAACCTTAACTAGACTAGATTCTTTGCAATAATACAGAAAATGCTAGAGGTCTTCAGTATGGCATTCCCAAGGCATTATTTAGAATTCAGCAGTCCTGGGCTCTAGTTCACCTTCCGTTGGTGAAAGTATGGATAATGATGATGATGATGATGAAGATGCTGCTGCTAGTAATACCAGCTAACCTCCACCGAGCACTTCCTAAGTTCCATGGACTGCCCTGGGCACTTGACTTCTATTAACTTAACAAGACTCCAGTGAGGAAAGTACCATCATCCCTAGTTGTGGTGACAGACCTGGAGGTCCCACTCACTGAGACCACAGAGCTGGTGGTGGGGCTTGGTGCTCACAAGGCAGTCTGGCTTCAGAGTGTCTGTTCTTAACCACACTGCAGCTTTCTGTCTCTACAAATTTAATCTCTGCAAATTTGAGCACCTAATGCGATAATGGATGTGCAAATGCTTAGAAAAATATAAGTTGCTCTATAAACATTAGTTATTAGTATTATTATCTAATTATCTAATTGCATAGCCACATGGTCTGAGAATAATAAAGCCTTGATTGGAATTTGTCCTAAAAACCTTATGACAGTACTGTCCCATATATCACTTAGTGCTTTCT